AGAGAGGATGGAAGGCCAGCTTATGGCGATCTCTTAAAGGATCAATAGCTATTTTGACTTTATCTTATGGGCAGTAAGAAGCTACTGGTCTGACTTGTGAGATTTTACAAAGACCACTGTGGCTGCAAAGTAAAGAACAGTTTGGAAGGGAAAGGCATGGCTCCAACACTGCAGATGAGATCAGAGTGGCCTGGACTAAGGTGGTAGCCAATTTAGACAAAAGGATGTGGAACTGAGATATCTGAGAGGTAAAAATATCCACCAAGATTCTGTGGATAAAGGAGTGACCCAGTCAGTCTACCGCCATACCACCCTGGACTCGCCTCATCTCGTTTGATAAAGGAGTAGCCCAGAAAAAGAGTCAAGACTGTGGTTTCTGGCTTGAGCACCTAATGGATGAATGGGCCATGACATGGAGGAAGAGTGAGTATATATTTGTTTGTTTGTTTTTTAGGTCACTATTAAAATTTGCTTTAATACTTCTTTGGGGAGGGGAATACTATACTTTTAGTCAATGACGAGAAACATTTGTACAGTAGTAGCCTTTTATTTTTAATACCTATTAATGCCATGAATTCATGGGGAAAAGGTTCCAATAGCTTGGGGAGGTACCTTCATTGAATGTGACAAAGCTTTGTATGTCTATCATGCCATGAATTCATGGGGAATAGGTTCCAGCACATTACTGTACGTGGGTCTCTTGGTTCTCCTGTGTGTTATGCTGTATACCTATTATGCCATAAATTCATGGGAAATAAATAGGTTCCAACACCTAATATCACGATTCCATTGGCTCTCTTGGTTCTCCTGTATGGTATGCTATATGCCTATTATGCCATGAATTCACAGGGAATGGGTTCCAGGAGCTCAGGCTCCTTTCCCTTGGTTCTCACAGAGTGGGCTTCTCTGGGTGGAGCAGGCTAGTGCTTCAGTTGAACCCAGGTACCTTTCTCTTTGGCTTCCTTCTTTTTCTGATCATTTTCCTTCACACATTTCAGGAAGCTATCTCAGCTCTTAGAGTGCTTAATATGTTCAATGTGAACATTAATTGTCTTGGCAAGAATCTTACCTTTAACCTGTTTGTTTACAACAACGCCAACAGCATACTGGGGTAACACTGCAGACTCTTCCAGTTTTGCCATGGTAGCATTTGAGTGGCATGCCTTTGTGAACAGTACCCATCCCCCCTTGATGTCTACAATATCATCTTTCTTATAGATTCGCATATATGTGGCCAAAAGAATAACTCCATGTTTTCTAGAAAGCCTAGAGAATATGTATTGTTTTTTGTTTCTTTTTTGTTTGTCATTTTGCTGAATTACTGGAAGACGGTGTCTCCAGCCAAAAGGCAGGAGTGTATATTTACTTGCATATATTCAAAGTGGAACATTCTGAGGTTTGACTATGTTGAATTTACACTGGCTAATAAGTTTGTAAATGAGGCAGTTGGATCTGTACAGGTCTCTTTCCTAGACCTCAGACCTTTAGAAAGACAATACTTAATTAAAACTGTAGCTAGGGTTAAAACTGCCTGGGGAATGCTCACCAATAACAATGATTGGCAGGGACATGGAGAAACCAGAATCTTTGTGCAATGTTGGTGAGAACGTAAAATGTTGTAGCTCCTATGCAAAACAGTATGGCAGTTCCTCACAAAATTAAAAACAGAATTACCGTATGATCCAGCAATTCCACTTCTAGGTGTATGTCCAAAAGAACTGAAAGCAGGTTCTCAAAGAGATATCTGTACACCCATGTTCATAGCAGTATTATTCACAACCGTCAAAAGATGGAACAAACTAAATGTCCAATGATAAACAGATAAAGAAAACATGAGATATCCATTGAATGAAATATTATTCAGCCTTACAAAGAAAAACATCTTGAAATATGCTACAACATGAAGTCACAAAAAGATAGCTATTGTATAATTCTACTTATAGAAGGTTTGTAGAACCAAACTCCTAGAAATTTAGTTTTACAACATGAGAAATTTCTAGAGATTGGTTGCACAATAATATGTGAAATTAAATAATTCAAACTTAAAGCTGTTAGAACATTACATTATTCAGAATCTTGAGAGGAGGAACGTGGCTGTGCAGGCTGAGCCATGTGGCACACAGCTACAACTTTTGCCTTTTTATTACTGTAATAATTAATATCACAAGGTGCCAGCAATAGGACCCCCTTAGATCACTGCCCCTCCTCATGGAGTAATAAAGTCAGTTTCCCGGGGATGTAACATTCTGTCCTGCTGAAATTTCTGTCACTGCCTCTGGAAGTAAAACCTTAACTTCTCCACTTTGCAATGCTGATCATACTCACTTGGAATTGGTGTCTCCCAGATGGCCATCCTTAAGTTTTGTACCCAAATGATCTCCATCAACTAAAAGTAAAATCTCAAGGTTCCCCCAACAACCCCTGCTGACTGAATGGAACTCCCATGGCCAGGGAAGCTCCATAAAAACCTTAAAACTAAGTTCCCAGCCATGATGGGAAGGAAGTCCCTTGTGGAGTTTAGATAATTGCAAACTGGACCCAAGGCCTGGCAAAGCAAAGGTTAAATTACAGCTGTAGGCCATCCATCTGCTTAACAAAATCACTCTGAGTAACTTACGGTGGCTTTCTCAGACTAAAAGACTCCCTCATCTTAACACCAATATTCCTTTCTACTGCCGCCAACTCTGTAGACAAAGCTTTATTTCTTTAGCCAATTATAAATCAAAGAACCTCTGAACCCACCTAAAACCCATAAGCTCTCATTTTGAGATGTCCCACTTTGGAAGCCAAATCCATGTAACTTTACATGTATTTCTATGCATTGATTTATGATTTTACCTCCAATCCCTATTACCCTAAAATGTATGAAACCAAACTGTGACCCTCAGGACTATCTACGCAAGTCTTCTTGGGTATGGCTCTCGAGGTCATTGGTCACTCAATATTTGGCTCAAAATAAAACTCTTTTTTTCTTTCTTTTTTACTGAATGGTAACTATGTACATTCATGCACTTCTGGGGTACAGTGTGGGGTTTTCACACACAATCTGAAACACTTCCATCAAACTGGTTAACATAGCCTTCATGTCATTTTCTTAGTTATTATTTTAAAGCGCTCACATTCTGCTCTTAGAAAGATTCACTTGTACCCTTATAAGATATACCTCAGAAGTGATCCCTCCAATCCCCCTCCCTCCACCCATTCCCCCCTCCCGTCTCCCCATATTCTTAGGCTGTTATTAGGTTATAGCTTTCATATAAAAGGTATAAATTAGTTTCATAATAGAGGTGTGTACACTGGATATCTCATTATTTAAGGTTGACAAATGTAATATTTTTAAATACTCCTGAACTGTACACTTAAAAATGATTAAGATGATAAATTTTATGTGATATGTATTTTACAATTAAAAGAATATTTAAATAATTAATGCCTTCATATAATTACAAATTTTCCCAAATCTAGTATACATGTCTCTGATATCCTAACTGTGTAGGGTTAGGACACAAGATTCTTTCTTCTTATCACCTTTATGAATTGTCAATTCCCTCTCAGGCCTAACTCTATTACACTCTGCTAAGAATTTCATCGTCTATTATAACCGACCCAGAAATGAACTGTTCTAAAGATTTTTGGGAAATAAAAACAAATAGAAAGAGGCCTACTTGTGCATACTTTCTTTTTTTTGAGACAGAGCCTCAAGCTGTCCCCCTGGGTAGAGTGCCGTGGCATAACAGCTCACAGCAACCTCCAACTCGTAGGCTCAAGCGAGTCTCCTGCCTCAGCCTCCCAAGTAGCTGGGACCATAGGCGCCTGCCACAACGCCCAGCTATTTTTTGGTTGCAGCCGTCATTGTTGTTTGGTGGGCCCAGGCTGGATTCGAACCTGCCACCTTATGTGTATGTGGCTGGTGCCTTAGCCACTTGAGCCACAGGCGCCGAGCCCATACTTTCTTAAGATTTTTAAACTTCCAATTTATTGTTTAATAAAAATTTAATTAAAATGTACATAATTTAATTGAATTAAATATTAAATTAAATAATTTAATTAAAAATAAAAGTACATTACTGACAAATAAACATAAAATTAGAGTGTGATGGGTCCAGGATATACCATCCCAAAATATACCTGTAAGATACCAGAGTAAGCCACCCCAAATATGCCTCTTAGGCATAAGGGTAATTGTGGAATGTTTATTTTGAGATACTGTAGACATAGAGTAAGCTCCGAAAAGTTGCCCTTTTGTAAGAGAAATTTCTATCTATAAAGGAAATCTGCATTTGTGAGGGTGTCTCCATGTCTGCACCAGATAGAGAAGGATGACTGAATTGCCTGAGACTCTTAAAGCAGAAGGCTTAAGCTTAAATCGGCAGAACAAACCTCACCCATGTTTTATGAGGTTTTTCTAAATGGAAAAACTGCTACTCCTACTGCTACACCTTTCTTTCTGCATTTCAGCAAAGCATTTAAGCCAGAAGTCAAATACAACCTTTTGAGAGGTACTCTATAGGTTTACTCATTTCTTTGGGTTAACTCCCATGTATAATAGTGGTTACATGTTATTAAATTTCTGTTTTTGTTTCTTTCTTGTCTTTTGTTACAAGGAATCTCAGCTAAGAACTGGACAAAAGGCAGCTGGGAAAATTATTTTTCCTCCCCTATGAAGACTCAGCACTCACTTCTGAAAGGTTCTGATTTCTATGTCAGATTGATGATAAACATCGGCTTACTCTGCTTATTCACGACATCTGACTGGGAAATGGAATAAAGTAATCCGGTTAAGAAGCAAAAACTTCTTTCCCCCTTTTTTCTTCTAGTTTATATACCATAATTTAATTGAGATTCAAAAAAGATTAAAATAAAAATTGTCAAAGATAATTAACATAAGTATAATCTACCCCTGAGTTTCTAACCCAAACTGGGGGACTACCAGCATAGTAGTGTCACTTCTTGAAAGCAGTCGTGATGAAAATGTACTCATTTCTTAGGGACCTGCTCACCTGCACAAGAGTGTCCAGTGTGAAGATGTGCTCCCCACGAACGTTATAGAACTTGACCATGGCACTCTTCAGAAGAGGACCGTTGGGAAGCTCACCAAGCTGGGCCTGCCGTTCCATTCCAGCGACTGCCAGTAAGTCCCCCTGTGTGCACCACTGGGCTACCACCTCTGAAATTGCAAAGAAGAAATGGTCAGCACAGGGACATGGCACTCTCTCAACTGACACTTGGCAAGGCTATTATTTGTTCTCAGAAGCTTAAAAAATAGAGACAGTAAGCAAATACAACAGTGCGACTTTTACCCTTTCCCTGAAGGAAATGAAAACCTATTTATCTGAAAACAATACAGCCTCTATTAAAAAACACGTGTTCATTACATAAATTGGGGACTGCAGCTCCCCTGAAATACAACTAATCAGCCAGAAACTTAAATATAATAAATATAATAAAGGTGGTATGTTAAATATCTATCTCTAATACCAGCATTTCCATGAGACTTATACAACTTATTTTTAGAGAAAGCACAGTAAAACCTATGACTACATGTGACATCAGTGCCTTGTCCTACTGCTGTGTCTTCCACTCTCAGAGAAGACAGAAAGAACTTATAAATGCTGAAAGTAAAAAGTAAATAAAAAGCAAAGCCTAAGTTTACATTTATTTGACTTCTGTGCACCACTGGGAAGATACATTCAGATGAGGTCTATATACAGTCTAACAATTAAGTTTATGAATTCATCTTAGACAAAGGGCTACATAAGTCACTGCTGATGACATCATAGGGACTAAGAACAGAAGAAAAATACTCTTGCTGGTGATAATACTGTAAGAGAAACTTTCACACTGGCAAGTCAGTGCCCACCTACAAGCTATTTGGTGCCTAAAAGAAATGGCTACTGAATGGTTTACCTTAATCCAAAATGAGAATTTGTTCCTTCCTATTTTTTTAAACCTCTTAGGACTAATGAGATTTATGGCATTTTTTTTTTTTTTTGAACCTTCAGGACCCTAAAACCATAATCTGGTTTATACAAAGATCTCTGCCTTCTAAAACTAAGTGGCCCATTTTGCAGAGAAGCTGGAGATAATTTAAAGAAAATGGTCTGCCGTGACAGGCGCCTATGTGAGCCAGGGCATGAATTCAGCAGCTCCCAAGCTTTGTCAGGTCACAGCAACCACAGCCTCCTTCTTACTCACTGCAGCAATGATTCTAATGCTATTGTCAGTATGTTCTGAGCTCACTGATGTTTTCTGACTTCCCTTGGAAACTGTAAGCAAGATGGTCTTCAAAAGAACCTGCTCATGAAGTTAGCCACAGAGCAGAGCTCAGGGGACAAAGAGGGCTGAGTGGAAGGAATGACAAACAGAATGGAAATACCTCCAGCAATCTGGAAGAGTCTATGTATCAACAAAAGGCACCCTCCTTCCGCCTCCATTTTTTCTAATAAAAGGATACGAATAAAGTTAAGTACAAACCAGGAAATGAAAAATCATGTAAAAGAATCAAGTAAATATCCTGGTGAGTATTTTTTTAAAGATGGGAGGGGACAGTTAGAGGATCTGTGATATGCTAACTGTGTTCAGGACATTCAATGCCTGGAGGCGCCTCCCATTCACATTATAGCAGCCCCTTTAACAACCCTGGCCAGAGGCAGCCTAGAAAGTGAATTTTTAAACTTTTCTACATTGCACCATTCAATTCTGAAGAGATTGTTTTTCCAACAAAGTCACCAGGGTCACAACATTACTAGTATCCCAGAACTGCAAAATTCAGAACATCTCAAATGCCTATGTCCACTGATTTTATCTTGAGATAACAACACTTCATATATCTACGAGCAAGGTACCAGCACTTGATTGCGACTCTTCACATTAAAGCCTCCATTTGGGGACTGTGGACCCTTCACAAGTCTTTTTCAAGGTAACTACCGCACAACGATCAGTTCCTTAATGAGCCTGCCAGACTATTAAAATTCCAGGGGCTTCTGTGGAGATGACGTCTTGTGCACCACCTGCTGCCTGAGAACTGACAGGTGCTCTAGTCCAGTTACCGTGTGGACACAGTGTAAGCCAGATGCAAACACACGGTATCCCTGAGAGAGATGGCTCTTGTCACAGTGAGGAGAAGAGCAGGTGAAGATGAAGACTGAATGTCAGGAAATCCTCCTTGAGATAAGAGGAGGTATCAGCGTGTCAGATAAGCAGTTTGCTCAGGGGAAGTGACCTTAGTTAAGTGACTCCATTAAGCCCAGAAGGGGTCACTGCAGTGGACAGGAATCAATAAATATTGGGTATGTGACACCAGCCCAGAAGGCAAACAGGCACAAGGCCACTCTGTGGGGGTGGGGCATATGCAGCATTCTGTACCTTTCAGCCCTGAGCGGATGACAGTGGGTGACAAGTCATCGTAGTTGCTCATTAAGCTGATGTCTCCCGAGGTGAAGCTGACAGTGAGCAGCGGCTTGATGTTCTGCACTGGGACGGGATACGCCGCTGGGCCATCTGTGGGAACACAAGTGCCGAGTGAAAAGGAGCCAACATGTACATGACCCAAATCCAGGCACCCAAGGCTGCAATCTTGTGTAGTGCCTAAAAACTGCCTGATAACGCAGATATGACTCTGAATTGGGATGTTACAGAGTAAGGCAAGCACCATTCTGCACCATTCAGGGAGTACACAATGGCCTGCAGGGGGCACGAGCAGAGAATCCTGGACTGAGCAGCAGGACCAGGGAGACACAACCCTAAGCAAGTGCAGTGGTGAGCATGTGTGTGAAAAGTTTACTGACTAGTATGTTAGTAAGTTGTATGTTCCTAAAGATGCATAAATGTAAATTATTTTAATGTCACACAACATACAAGGTTGGTGGGAAGAGGGATGAAAATGGTTTCTTTTTTTTATTATTTTTTTGGAGACAGGATCTTGCTCTGTCCCTCAGGCTAGAGTGCAGTGGCATCATCGTAAGTCACTGAAACCTTAAATTCCCTGGTTCAAGTGATCCTCCTGCCTCAGCCTCCCAAGTAGTTGGGAATACAAGCATAGACAACCATGTCCAGCTAATTGTTTTGATTTTTGTGGAGAAGATATCTTGCTATTTTGCTCAGGCAGGCTGGTCTTGAACTCCTTGGCCTGATGTGATCAGAGAGGATCATTCTTCTCAGTCTCAGCCTCCCAAAGTGTCAGGATTACAGGTGTAAGCTCCCATTCCCAGATGAAAATAGTTTCTTTATTCTAGTCTAAAACACAGAAAAAAGGTGATCCTTAATACTAAATGTTCTGTCAATGAATGTTATAAGGAAATGAACAGCCACGACAGCCACCATTAGTTCCTTGTAAGTTTGGTTTTTACCCTAAGAGATCCCAAATTTGGAGAGAAGGCTGAGGTTGGATGTGGCTCAGGAAGACTTTTGCTGTACCTGCAGTACATGGCCAATGTAAAGAAAACTGCTTTGTAAGTTCAGGGACTCTTGTCCAGATATTAAGGAAAGAACCATAATGGGCCAAGGACTAGGTTTCTCAGGGGTTGTTTGAAAAAGTTAAAGGTGAGCCCTTCATGTATGCCAGGGTGAGTCAGGGCTCATTCAGGAGGCTCCCAGGCACACTGAGCTCAATCCCAGCAACCATGAGGGGTAGGTCTGCCATCTACCTGCAGATGAAGCCCAGTTATCACTCCTCTTTGCTTCAAGTAGAGACACTGCACCACATCTGTCTCTGTGCTAACACCCCGTTACATCTGAAAGGCAATATCTGTCCACCTCTAAAGTGTCCCACTGCTTCTGAGCAGGGAAACTGGTCAGGGAAGCATCAGGGACTAACTCCTAGACTCACTTCGGACTTGCTTCTTGTACTTATTCTCTAGACCTTGTTCCTTTCAATAATAAAATGGGGATAAATAAAGCTAGATTCAACCTATTAAAGAGGAACTCTGTTTTAAAAGTATGCTGAGGCCAAGTTATAAAGGCAGCAACCTTATTACTTTGAGGCTGTGGAAATAGGAACAGCACTTCCCTCAAGGCCACCATCCTACTTGGAAAGGGGGTAGTTAACTCCCAAATAGATTTGTGGGTACAAGAAACAGCCATTGATACCCTCCCTAGATCCACTGACCCTCAACCACTCCCACCAATCCTATTTCATGTGTGACTGCTTCCTCCTACAATGAATGAATGAATGAATGCTTGTGTACACACACGCACATGCATGCATGCTGTTGGGCAGCACATCATCTCTGTCTCTGTGACAGAATAACCACAACACACAAGAGCACTGAGAGCCTAGACACTGACAGGGGAGAATGTTCCTACACGAGTCTGAGACCAGCTGCACAGGACACGCACTGTGGTGGCAGGAAAGGCTGGAAACCATCCAGTGCACATCTGACTATCGGGGCACAGCAGCGTGAGCGCGGCAGGGCTGGGCCCAGACAGAAGCTGCAGCATAGTGACCACCTCTTGCCAGAATTCCTTCCTACCATTTCATAATACACTTTCCTTTAAAAAAAAGAGGTGGCCCATGACACAGTGGTTACAGTGCCAGTCACATACACTGAAGTTGGGTTCGAACCCAGCCTGTGCCAGCTAAACGATGACAAATACAACAAAAAACAGCCAGACGTTGTGGTGGGCGCCTGTAGTCCCAGCTACTTGGGAGGCTGAGGCAAGAGAATTGCTTTAGCCCAAGAGTTTGAAGTTGCTGCGAGCTGTGACGCCACGGCATTCTATCAAGGGCAACATAGTGAGACTCTGTCTCAAAAAAAAAAAAAAAAAAGGTGGCTATAGCTAACCAAAGGGATAAGCTCCAGAGTTCTACAGTGTCGGATGATGGGAGTTAAGAATAATATATCATGTAGTTTCAAATAGCTAGAAAGAGGACAATGAATATTCCCAACACAAAGCTATGATAAATGTCTGAGATGATGGATACACTGCCCTGCTCTGATCACTATACATTACACATATTGAAACATCTCTATGCACCTCACAAATACGTACAATTATTATATGTCAGTTAAGAAAAGAGAAGTAGGGGCAGTACCTGCAGCTAGCTCAGTGCATAGGGCGCTGGCCCCATATACTGAGAGTGGCGGGTTCAAATTCGGCACCGGCCAAACTAAAAAAAAAAATAGCTGGGCGTTGTGGCGGGCACCTGTAGTCCCAGCTACTTGGGAGGCTGAGGCAAGAGAATCACTTAAGCCCAGGAGCTGGAGATTGCTGTGAGCTGTGACATTATGG